GACGCGTCCCTAATAAGACCTTGATGTAACGTAGTCCCTAATAAGGCCCTTGTTACATATTGTCAACAACGGGGCCTTCAGATACACCAGGACTTTCATGTGGAAGAACCCCTCCTACGACTCTAGTTTGAGCCACACTCCCTCATAAGTCTCTAGGAAAAAAGCCCTACTTTGGAAGAGTACCTAATAAGACCTTAACTTAACAAAATCGACCCCCCTCCAGCAAACTCTGAAGAGAAACGTTGGAGCCCCTCGAGAGAGTCACCTGGCCTCATGGAACCCAGGCAGTTCCCGTTACGGCGGGCCCAGGGAGTCTGTTACAGCGCAACCCCGGTTCCTGTTACAAACCTGGGCTTTGTTCCTGTTACATGTCCCTGTTACGCACAATCAGTTCCTGTTACTTCCAATCCTCGTGTGTCTGAGGAGGAGGAACCGGATGCCAGACACGATGGCTCGAGAATGACTGTTCAATTAAAGCCAGGGAAGCAGGATCTGGTTCTCACAAAATTATGGAACTCAAAAGAGAAGATGTAACGAATTGGTATCTGGTTGTTTGTGATTTTTGGTGATGAACTCAAGCGGGGAGTTGAAATGGGACACTAACACATCCCGGCTCTTATGCTTAGTCCGCTGTTCTCTTGGATCAACGGCTTGGAAAAGGACACCTGGAATCCATGATTTGGCGATTTGGTCTTCCCTTCTGGAAGGAATCTCAAGAGGAAAGCCAGGACTCCGGATCTCCATTTCCAATTAGATCTCATTAGAACGAGGAAGGACAGCATTCTGGAATCTACGGGGTTCCTTTGTGCTTGCTAATGAAATCCAAGGAAGATCTGAGAACGGAAAAGGAAGAATCCAGGTTCGCTCATGTAAGTCCTTCGACGAATAGAAAAGAAAGGAGGGTCACGCCACCAGATCATGGATTCTTGGTTTTATTGTGCATGTTTTGGAACTGATTCGAAAAGAGAGCCTACTACCAGATCTTGTGCAATTTGGTTTATCCTGGAGCCATTTCTTCTGCATATACGGACACGGCCACTAAATACTGGATCCGTGGTGCTCCTCCCGTAGTTCATGATCAAGTGCCATCGGAAAAGCGAACTCAACCGAATCCTGGATGCTTAACTCTCCAGATTAATTTCCTGGTCAGACTTCGTGACAGAAATCGATGCTCATCATTGGGCTTCCGGCTTGGAGAAAAGAACCAAACCTTCCTGGCTTGTCTTCGAATGAAACGCTTATCAAATTCCACTGAAGAATCAAGGCTCATTGGTGAGGGGCGTACCGTATTGTATACACACCTATGTTCCCCCCCTCCATGACACGGTCAAATTAGGAAATTCTGTGGCTTTACGCCCTAATCAAGTGCAACGTCCTCTTTCAAGTAACAATGCAACCGCTTAATTGGCCTAAAAGGGCATCAAACTCTGACAATCAGAAGCCCACAAGCCCACTAGACTTTCGGAGCAATAGCCTATGACGCAAGCCGGGGGCGCTGGTCCCCCACCCCCTCAATGCTTTTGTCACTGAGGTCATACTCGCGCTTCCATGTCAAAGCCTTGCTCCCGTTTGCTTTGCATTTATTACGCCCCCAACACCTCCTCGGGATTTTCCTCAGAAACACTGAAATATTAGACATGAAATCCACCTAGCAGCTGCAGAGAGCCATCAAAACCGCGCAAAAGCACCAAGCTTTCGAGGCAATCCGTGAAGTCGGCACCCGGACTGTCTCAGCTCCATACTGCAGCCTACCTTCAAATTGGTGAAAGCCCCAATGCTGATGCTGGCCCGGCCAGGCAGGCCAGCATCATCAGCATCATTGGGCACTGGCCTCTGCAATCTGAGGCCTTGCAGCAACCCTTCCAACAACCCTCGAGCTAGTTTTCAAAAACGTTCGTGCTCATGATGTTTTTTGGGGGGTGTCAGGGACCCTACAATCCCTTCGCTAGGGGAAGCTTCTGGAGTGCGTATGAATTTTGGCTTGGTATTGGAGCGCCGGCCGGGCAGAAGCGGAAGTCCAATGACGCAGGTCGGCGCCAGGGCGCTGCCCGATTTGCACGGGACCATGATGGCCAGGCCAGATGCGGCGTGACAACGAAGCCGCCGATCCTTGTTAAGAAATTGGTTTGAGTGTCCAAGCTGTTTCCCCGCCTGCTACGAAGGGTCTGCGGCAATTTTTTATTGGGCTTCTCCCTCCTGGACACCTCAACATATCTAGGGTTGGAGGGGTGCCGGCTCCTAGGCCCCATGATGCTCATGCCGGGGGGCCTTGGAATGCCGCAAACCACTGCAAAACGCGCAAAATACATGCTGTGGGCAGCATTTGAGGCTGTAACTGCCAGCCATGGCAGCACCTGCACTGTGACAAGCCTGCCAAAGGCATTGCGTGCATTACAGAGGCCAAACTCTCTATAGCTGTGCTCTTGAATTGTTTTGCCCATATTGCCAGTTTTGGAGTGCTGAAGCTACGATTGTACACCACTTTAACCTATCACATGAATGTAGCTTCTGAATGGCAAGTGCATATATGTGGGCCAAAACATTGTCAGCCTGCGCTGAAAACCACGTTCAAAGCCCTTTTTGATGTTTTTTCTTGGGTCTTTAACCCCTCCTGGTCCCATTTAAGCCAAAGTGGAATTCCAATTGTGTTGATGATGCTCGCGCCTAATGCCCTAAAGACCAGTGAAACTAGCGAGAACATCCCTCTTACAGAAGCTTCTGATGATCTTGAGAACTGTCGCGACCCTTGACCCCATCTGAGGTAAGAAGCTATTGAGTCCAAGATCTTAGTCAACAAAAAAAACCAAAAGCAACGAAACACAAAGTAACGTGTAACGTGAGCGCTTATCCCCGCCCCCTCCCCCATCGCCTCTGAGCTTCCTCGGTGGTGCCCTCGGTCTCGATGGTTTCGGGGCTGAGCACGTTCGCGCTCGTCCGAGTACCTATCAGGTTGGACGACAAGAGTCGCTGTTTGCGGGCTTCGCTATGCGGGACGAGCACCGGAGGGGCAGCTGCAGAAGTTCAGCCTGAAAACAATCTCTTCACTCCTCTTCGCAAGGTGTCCCCCCTCTACCATCCAGCAGTTTTTTACTGCTTCTCCGCCTTTTCCCACTGGGTCCCGTCCCGTCCCCCCCTCCTGGCCTCTGGCACATGCTGCCTCCTGAGCAGAAGCTCCACTCCGCACTCCAGATCTCAGCAGTCCCATGAAACCTCCAAGTCTAATGCATTCGCCTTTTGCCTTCACTTCTTAGCAGGCGGGGGGCAGCTCGACGTTGGCCAGCTCAAAGAGCCGCCGCGAAGCCTTGGCGCTGGCCCGGTCGCTGTGCTTGTCCTAAGAAGAAAACACCACCACACCGTCATGACACCGTCATGAGAATCCTTTCTCCAAAGCCCTGGGCTGAAGCAAAGATCACCTGCTTGATCCCGGCCTGGCTGCTTGTTGCAGCTGCTTTGCTGGCTCCCTGGTGAAAACCTTGCCGCAGGCCTGGCCTGGATGATCACCTTGGCGCACTCGTTGCAAGGGAAGAGGGTGCTGTAGATCCTCTGCCGAAAGCACAAGCGGACAGTACTCAGGCCATCGTGCTGTTCGGAGTGAGGCCTGCATCCGGAACAGCTCTCCGCATTCTTGTTGAGCACCGCATTCAGCTCAGCGTGGACCACCTCAGCTTCCCCTCACGCGCTTGGCAAAAATTTGCAAGTCTCAAGCCTTACACCCGGATGTTGTGTCTAGCTTCGGCTTTCTAGTCGCGTCGAGCGGAAGCTCAAGCCAAGGCTCTGGTTCTTTGCTGCGCCGCTATGCCGCTACGCCACTACGCGGCAGTATATTAGGAAGGGCAAGGTTGTGGCATGTGAAAAAGACGCCATCTTGCTGAGGTGGACACGTAAGGGTACTTGGTCGCCAGCTCCCCTGCAGTTCAAAAACGCTTTGCTTAAAGCCCTTTGCTCGCCTGCCTTCGCCTGCCTTCCACAGATCTCTTGCTCCACGGCAGCTGGTCATTGGGGCAATTGCTGGGCATGCCATTGTAGCCTTAGAAAAACAGTCAGCTGCTGATCTTTTACAGCTTCATCATTCCTGAATACTGGAGCCCTGCCCACGCCAATGATGCGGTTCCGATCGTTCACTATGCAGGCACCCACCTGCATCAGTGACGGATTTGTCTAAGCTGTGGTGCTGTGCAGGCTGTGCGCTGTGCCTGAGTTGAGGGATCCTTGGACCGCATCGAGGTCAAGAAAGCAAGGCCTCGGATCTGCGGATCAGATGCCATCCGTTTGTGACTTGGAAATGGCTGACATCCAAAGAGCTCATGAAGTAGTCATCCCAGGACAATGCGCCCATCCGTGGGCCCGTGCCTGGAAAACCACAAAAGCGCCAAGTCAAGTTCCTTCAGCCAGTCTGAAGTCACAAGTCCCCTGAAGCCTTAGCCACCTTGGCCTTAGCCTCCCTAGCAGCCCTGCCGCCTTCACGGGTCTGGGGGCTCTGACCGGCCATGACTGCAATGGCCAATGGCACACGACTGCACGACTGCAGCTGCGCGGCTGCGCGTGGCAAAGATGGGCAAAGACATGCCGCTGTGCAGCTTTCTAAGCAGCTTTCAGACGTGTTTTTGGCGGACAGTGAGATGCTCTGTGCGCCCGACTTTCGGTTTGCCACGTCCTCCACCTCCACCTCGTGACGTACAAGTACCCTACACTTCGGCTTCAAGACAAGGGCTGCTGCGGGCTCTCAACAACAACAGGAGCCTGCCACGGTCTCCATCGCCACGAGGCTACGCCACGAGGCTACGCGGCGAGCCCAAAGGGTAAAAGGCTGAACCAAGCAAACCGAGCTCCGGAGCTCCGAGCTGAGTTCCGAGCCCAGCTCTGAGCCGAAAGGGAACCAGAGGCAGGTGCAGCGGTCGGGAAAAAGAAGGGGGCACAGGCTCAGGAACAGGCAGGAGGGTGAGTCAGAGACACCGCGATGGGTGAGTCAGGAACAGCGGGAGTTCTAATCGGAAACTAAACCCTGAATCCTATAGACCTTAAACCCTCAACCCTGAAGTGTAAAAAACCTCAGCGCACACCAAAAGGGCGGATTCGCGCACCGGGACAACCCCAGGATTCACGCACTGCCGCCGGATTCGCGCACAGCCCCCGTCGGATTCGCGCACCAAGGATTCGCGCATTGGCACGGGAACCGATTCAAACGGACAGATTGGCGCACCAAAATAGCTGCTTCGCGCATCAAACTACAGGATTCATGCCTAGGCTGGCCTGGGCGGGCCACGATGGTCGGTTGTAGTAGAAAACCGCACGGGAACATCCAAAACCCTAAGCCGTAAAGACTCCCAAACCTCAAACCTGAACACCCACCAACCCTAAACACCCAGACCCTAAAGCACCCCCAACCCCTGAACCGGAAACACCCCACAAAAAACATCCCTAGACCGTTAGCACTCTAGACTGTAAACCCTAAACCCTCCCAACCCATTGGCCCTAAACCCTACAACCAGAACACCCCCGTTAACTTTCTGAAGCTCTACACCCGTGAACCCTAAACCCTAAAGTCCCACCAGCGACCCCCTAAAGCATGAACAGGAAACCTTTGAACCCTGACCACCCCCCACCTCAAGCATAAACACTTCCAAATAGGCCAGACACCTCACCCTGGACCCTAAACCTTCGACCCTAACCCCTAATTCTAAACCCCAAATCTCACACCCTGACCACTCCCGAAGCCCTAAGCCCTACAACCCCGCAAGCGAGCAAATAACCCTCAGCACTGAACACCCCCAAGCCCTAAATCCTCAACACCCGCAAGCTCTAGACCACAAAACTCCCAAACCTTAAGCCCAAACCCTACAAACGTCCCCAACCTTAAAACCTAAACGTTGCCAAGCCCCATGCCTTAAACTTTGAACCCTAAACTCTGAGCCCTCTAGACACTCCAAACCCTCAGGAACACTCCCAAACCCTCAGCCCTGCCGAGGCCCGAGCCCTAAGCCTTGAACCCTAAACCCTCCTCAACCCTAAACCCTGAACCCGCACTCCAGACATTGCAAGCCTTAAGCTCTAAAACCCTCAAGACAATTAAACGTAAAGCCATGGAAGCGTCGTGGCTTGGTGGAACAGTCGGCGCCTTTTGGCGCTGGAATCGGCACCTTTTGGTGCTCGAATCGGCGCCTTTGGGTGCTTGAACCAGCTCATGTTGGTGCTTGAATAGGCTCCTTTTGGACTCGTGCGGTGCATTAATCGTTAATACGTGAATCGGGTAGTTCGTGTGCTTGAATCAGCGCTTGAACCGGGCTTGGTGCGTGGATCCACATAAGCTCTTTAAAGCCTAAAAAACCCAAAGCCCCAACAACCCTGTATGCGAGTCACAGCACGAGCGACAGCTGCCACAACGGTTGCCACAACACACGCACCTTTTCACTCAAACTCGAACCTGTGTGCCTGCGAATCCGAAGAAAAAGGTCTGAGTCTGAGGCGGTTCTGCCCAAAATGACCGTGCAAGAAACTGTGCTGTGCACTGACACAGGTGTAAAATCCTACCTGTCCAATGCTGACGTTGCATGGTCGTTCAAAGGAATCTTCAAGATCCCTGCGGCACAAGTCAAATGCCAATTGTCACACGTCATAGCCTTCGTCAGAAAGTCAGCCAACTGCTCAGAAGTCGGCACAGCCTCTCAGCAGTCGGAGCGCTGAAGAGCTTCCTCCACTGGGCGCGACAGTCACAAACCAGCGTCTGCCTCAGGCTCGCCAAGTCCACTGCCAGCCTCTTGTCCGAAGGGGCCTTTGGGGTGCCTTCTCTATGGAGATGGTCATAGAGGGACTTGCAGTCCGTCAGGAGGTGCAAGTCCAAGAACTCTTCGGCTGCCTCTTCTGAGATCACCACCTTGTCCTTGGACACCTCGTATATTGACGCCAGTACTCGAACGAGTCCTTGCTCCAGCTGTCGATGGGGAAACGGGAGGCCAAGGTCTCCTCAAGATGTCTCCGGAGCGGTCTCGGCAAGCAGTAGCAGATCATCGACATGCGCAAGGAGCAGGCTGTGGACCTTGTCATCGCTGGTGTTGACGACGAAAAAAACACATGGGTCCACGACATTTTGTCGGAGCTTGAAAGTTTTGTTTTCAAACTCAAGGGTCAGCTTGGTGAGCTCGAAGGAGAGTTGCATCCACCACAGCTTGGGTGAGGCCGAACACGCCCTTGACAAAGGACTAACCCATGTATCCCACGGCGAGGTTGCTCAAAGAACAAGTCACGAGGACGAGGGGCAGGCGCACCGTTGAGGAATGCAGCCCGGATGTCCCCAATGGAGGCCGACCATCCGCGGCTCACCGCCGCACCGAGTAGCGGCTAGCTGTCGGCGCATCAACTGCCATGTTTTGGCTTCCCAGGTCGGGGTCAAGCTGGCCCGTGGGGTCCGTTTTGCGGCGAGCATGATTTTTTTTTATCTCGGCACACATACCGAGATTTCAAAATCCGGCTTGGGCGCACAGATGCCCTGACCTCGTTGCTTTCAAGCAAGCTCAAAGTGCGCACTGCTCCAAAGTCCACATATTCTTGCCGCTGCCGCTGCTCACCCACTGCTTTCTGGTACAAAGGTCTTTCGTCCAGCGGTATGGCAGACCACAGTAGTTCTTTCTCGAATTGTTTTTCCCTGCCACGGGCAGAACACCTTCGCGCCAGTGTAGGCTTGTTAGGGAGCAGCCGGTTGTCCTGCGCGTTGGAACCTGACGCTTGTCCATCACGTTCGACGGGCCTTCTTCACAAAGCTCGGCGGGAGGTCGTTCAAGATCTCCTCCTCCCTGGTGAAGGCCGCAGACTTCGTCTTCTTCGTGAAGGAAGCAGCTCGCCGCCACCGCCGCCGCCCAACACAGAGCCTCCTACCACCTCAGAGCCTGAGCAGACCATCACAGAGCCTGAGCTAACCTTTTCAGGCAGAGGTGCCTGCTGCAGGCTGAGGACGGCGAGTACCCGGCGGCTGAGGAGGGAGAGCCCGGATGTGGCTGAGGGTCCAGTTGCTGCAGAGGGTAGCCAGGGCTCCTGAGTGGAGACCATACCCTTTCTTCCTAGAGTAAATGATAGGGGTTTTTGTGCCCCCTAAAGCTTAATTTAACATGTGTCTATATATAATATAGCAAGATAGTATCCGCATATGGTCTCCTACACTGCGTGAACTTCTTGATCTCGCGCAGCGCCATCTTCATCCTTAGGAGCTCGTTGACCTCCTGGATGCGCTCGGGCGCAACCAGCAAGCACTCTGCGGACGACAGTCAACCACTGAGGTTTTGGCTTCTTCGTTGGACGCACGGGCCACGGCCTCCTTGGCCTGAGTGTCATAGAAGCTGAGGCGTCCGAACAAAGCAAGGTGGCAAATGCCCACCTTGTCATCGTCCTCGTGCATCCTTGCGCTGGAACCAAGCAGGCATTGGTGCGGGCTGAAGCCTGCCAGGAGAAAGCGCACCTCCAAGATGTCCTCCCGCGCCGCCAGACCGCCGGTTTCCGTAGGTCATGGCCATAGAGCAGGTCGCGGGGCATATGGGCGGCCCCACGGCGTCTTGTCTTCCATGATCTGGCGCGGCCGCAGAACATCATGGCGGCCCTGGTCGTCGGGGTAGTGTGGTGCCTCGGCTTCACGACGGCCCAGACGTCCGAAAGAGGCCCACCTACGATACCCGCAGTGTGGCTGGTGAACATAGTGACGCAGACGCCCGCAACGTGAGCTAGGTATCCCGCGTTCCGCCTGATCTTCTTGCCGATGCTGGCGTTCAACTGCTTTCTCCGCCGTCGCCCTGCTCGTGCTCTGTCGCGTGGATCGCCCGCGCTACTGCTTGAATCCTCCCCTGAGTCATCGGCCAACAGAATATGGAAAGCCCCATGATGCGCTGGCACTGGTGCCCCTGTCCGTTGCCTTGCCCAAAGCATCGGATATTGAAGAGAAATTCAAAAGTTCGATTGATTTTTTCAAAACAAATAAAATCGATTGATTTTAATGGTTTCCAAGAAAAAGTCAATAGAAAATTTGATTCAGCAGCCCTGATTTCGATTGATTTTACAATTTGGTTTTCCTTTGAATTCTGTTGAGTTTTCTATTGATTTTAACGCATGTTTTCTATTGATTTTTGATGTGTGTTCTATTGATTTTCTATTGATTTTTATTGTACATTTCTATTGATGTTTATTGTAGATTTCTATTGATTTTGAAGTCAGATTTCTAATGTTAGGTATGGGTTGAGAGAGCCCTGTTTAGCAAGTGCAAACATGCGCAAGATCTTGCTGTGGCAGTGGCATACAAGAGCATGTGCAGTTGCTGGAATTTGCTGCATGCAGGCATATTTGGATTAACAGGCTGGT